GTGTATACAGTATGATGATGCTAGTTTTCTCAAATGAAACGGTAAAATTCTCGCGAAGTGACTATAACAGCAGCTCTGGAGATTAAGTTTTTGTGTTCATGCCGTCATATAGTGAGACGCAGAGGCCGGAAATCACCGAGAGCGTCACGCGTGCTTCAGTATTTGTGTAGTAAACAAAACCGCGTCTCCGCCATTCATACATACAGAGGCAAGCGGAACATGCAAGATTCATATTTAAACCATCTTTTTGCATTTTAATATTCACAGACACTAGTTCATATCGCGATTCGAATTAAGTGGCAGTGGCTACTTTGATTTATTCGTTCAAAATTGACGAATTCCGTGGCATTCTGCGCTATAGAATAAATTACGTTTTTATGAATGGACTCCGCGATCTCGTCTGCGTTTTCGCAGAAACCATATGGCCCTAGAAATGTAACCACACTTCAGAACATTTCGGCTTGCCCTGTGTTGTTTGAACGAGTTGCAGGGGTGATATCACGTCACAGGGTCTCTCTTTCTCTCTCTGTATGCGCCCAGATGCATTCTCAGGTACGGAAATTTGGCACCGATCGATTTAACGTGAATCGGTACTCGGTAGTACCGACGCTATTCGGTCGGTACCCTTAAAAGTACCGAGTTCGGTACCCAACCCTAATCTCGAGGCCCAAAAACAAACATGGACCCTTTTCAAAAAGTTTATAGACATGTACAACCATATAAGGTTTTTAAGCTAGTATGTCAAATTAAACTATTACTACAAATACACAGCTAATTGTGGCAATAAACAAAATGTAGACAAAACAAGCAATCTAAACAGCCAACATGAAAGACCTGGAGAATGTTGTTTGGGTGGATCTTTCTCTATGCTTTTGGCACTCACATTGAAGAAGACAAATCTTCAAAGTGTAGCATCACTACATCTCTTTTAACTAGTTGTTTGTCAGCAGTGAAAGCAAAACAGCTTTGAACAAGAAGCTGATGACCACAGCTCACACGTTCATGTTGTAGAAGTCTTTTATTAAGCTCTTGAGAAGCTCAAGAAAACTGAATTTTGGCTGTCCATGATATCTAAGACTTCCCCCATCAGTTGTCAACAGGAAACTGAGGTACAACCTTGATATGTTTGCTTAAGCTTTTTCTTTTTTTTTCTTTTAGTTTTTTAATGCACAGTGGCGCAGTCCTATCTCCATCCAACTCCAAAATGGTGCACAAACAAACCTGAATGGAAGATAAATTTGTTACTTGGAGAAAGCGAAACCTGCGCTGTTTCCTCTCTGCAGTCCACAGTTGGAGGAAAGGCGAATCTGTGCAACTCACTCTTTTTTTTTTTTTTTTTTTTGCAGCAACGTTTTTTTTTCATCCTAGAAAACAAGAGAGCGCTTTCCTGGTGTAACTGAGGTTTAAAATTTGGTGGGGAGGTTAGAGAAGTAGGTTTGTTCGGTGCACTCAGAGTGGTATAGCTAACATGCTTCGATGATCTGCGGTTAGCCTGCACTGCCAGCATCGTGCGCTGATCTACACACCCCTCCCCACTTCCTGTGTGTGTGTGTGTGTGTTTACACACTTTAGTGGGTAGTGTGGCCTAGCTGCCACAAATTTTTACCCTGAGTATTTCACGTTTTACCCTTGTTCTCCTTTAAAAACATATTTTGAACATTGTAAGCGGAGTTGAAGTATGTTTATCCAATAATGTTTTTTTTTTTTAGCAGTTACGTGCATAATGGCAATAGTAAGTTAACAGATTAAATAAAAATGTAAAGTAACATAAAAAAAATATGCAGTATTTTACTAATTAATGTATGTTTTGTCTGGGAAGACTACAATTTTAAAACCCAAACTAAAATTATTTTTGTTGTAAAATTTAAAATTAATTTATTTTTGTTAACGCAGTGTATCATTAAAGAGCATGGCTTGATTTTGACCTCTTTCCCTCAGCAGGGTGGAGTCTTTTTTTTAATTGCGGTTTAGTATTCCGTTTACTGACAGAAAGAAACTGATTGCTGGTCTGGTATAAATAACAGCCCTATTGAACATGTGGTTAACACCTTTAGAGGAACCAGCAACCAGTTTAAAGTTCTCATGAGTAAGTGAATGCCAGTCTTGGCAAAAAAAAAAAAAGTGTGCATAAGCATTTTTTCAAACTGAAGGTCCTCACTGGTTTGTGATTACTTTACATTTCTTGGGCAAATTTCTATAATAAGCAAATTGCTTGTGCAAGGATTCTGCTTTTCTGTAAAACAATAACAGCGTGTGAGCCATATGTTGTGCTCTTATTTGGTGTGTACAAAGAGACAGAAAGTTCAGTGTTGTTTTGAATTGAAGCCGAGTTACCGCATCATACACGCTTGAACCACTGTTGGTTTTTTGGTTGAGCTTCGGAAGGATATGTGCAAATGACAATTGTTTGATTATTATGTAGTATTATTGCAAAAAGTTATTAATTTTTTACAAAGAATTACATTACTGTTCAAAAGTTTGGGGTCAGTAAGATTTTTTAAATGTTGTAAGAAGTCTTATACTCACCAAGGCAAAATTTATTTTTATTAAAAGTAAAGTAAAAACAAGAATATTATGAAATATTATTACAATTTAAAATAACTCTCTTTTATTTGAATATGTTTTAAAAATTAATTTATTCCTGTGATGCAAAACTGAATTTTCATCAGTCATTACTCCAGTTTTCAGTGTCACATGATCTTTCAGAAATTATTCTAATATGCTGATTTGCTGTTCAATAATTTTTTGAAAACAGATTTGCTGCTTGATATTTTCGTGGGAACTGTGATATATTTTTTCAGGATTTTTTGAATACAAAGTTCAAAAGAACTTCATTTATTTGAAATCGAAACCTTTTGTAACATTATAAATGTCTTAACTGCCACTTTTGATTTATGGTGTCCTAGATTAATAAGTATTAAGTCCTTTAAAAAAATTAATGTTATATATGTTAAATATTATAATATTAATGATGTTTTTTTTTTTTTATGTTGAAATATGTCTTAAAGTCATCACACATTATACATTATATGATGCTTAAACACTGGTTTTCCATTGTTTTAGTCAAATGTGTGGGGGTGTTGTGGTGTAGTGGTTAAAGATCTGGGTTGGTAAACAAAAGATTGTAGGTTCAAATGCCATAAATCAGTAATGAGCTAGTGCTATATGTTTTCTATTATTGCTTAGTAAATAAAGCAATTAGAATTTGTTAGATGGTTATTATAAAGTTACACAGGACCAATGAATTTTCATTTAGCTTGTCGAAAATGAAACGCAAAGGTTGGCTTAGACGTTCAAAATGAAAACTGCTGTTTTTCAACAGGTAAAAGCACTCCAGTAAACGTGCCTGGATCCGCCGATTCGGCCAAGACGAGCGATCCTTTCCAGCCCTTCAGTGCCGACCCTGCTGATCCGTTTCAGAGTAAAAAGGGGGTGGGAGATCCGTTTAGTGGCAAAGACCCGTTTGCTCCATCTGCCTCAAGTAAAGCCTCTAAAGACTCTTCATTGGGTTTTGCAGACTTCAGCTCTGTAAGTTGAGCTTAGTGATACTCTTCTCTTGTCCGGTCCACTTGTTTCTTTCCAAAATCGAAATCAAACCAACCAACAAACCAAAAAAAACTGCTTTCTAGCGATTATCAGTGAGGTTTTCTAGAGCAGACCGCACCATTGGCTTCTGTATCGCTCAGTCTGTCGCCTTGTGCCAGCTACTCATTTAGTTTCCTCCATGTCTGCAGTCCATCTATCTGTGATTAACTCACCAACGCACAGAATTCTGGATAATAAGCCCTAATCAAGCAGCCAGACATCATCTCTATCTCTTTCAGTGACTCAAATACAGTTGTTTGTGGTGCACATGGCTATGATGTCATCTGTCGTTTTGCTCAGCGTTTGCATGGGCTTGTGGGAAGAGGAGCAGTCACACTTGGTGATACCAAGCGCTCTCGGCTAAGCTAATGTGGCTTCTCGCTGTTCTTCTGTGACTTTTTTTAAAGCTTTTATGCAAATGTGTCTTGTTTTTCAAAGGAACACTGTTCAGGCTGCAGTTGTCATTCAGAAGCAAAGTAAGGTCTTGTTTGAATGTACTTAAAATCAAGATGAGTTAGTGTATAGTTTACACTAATTTTAGTTTGGTGGTAAATATTTCCAAAAACCTATGCATAATGAGGTTAAAAATCATATAGCAACTTAGATTATATTTTCCTGTTTACTTGTAAATTTTAAGTGACATACAAAAAAAATTCAGTGCTTATTGTTACTATGTGCACAATCAGTGTCAGTATTTTGCTTCTTATCTAATACAGATGCAAGTTTTCTCGCAACCCACAAGTTTGTTCTCATAAAATGTCAGTGTTTATACTAAAATGTATGTACTATGTCAGTTTTTTCGCTTAATCGTCTGCGAAGTGGACCATCTAATTGGCTCCTAAAATAATCTGTTTCGTGAGCATCACAATTTTTTTTTCGTTCAAACAAAACGTCAGTGTTTAAAGTAGAATCTATGTACCCGATGTCAGTATTTTCCCTATATAGACGAGTGTGAACCTTCTGATTCGCATATGAAGGGAAATAATTTTGTTAACACGAAAGTTCGTTAGCTTAAACAAAATGTCAGTGTTAGTGTTATTAATGTGTCTGATGTTAGTATTGTCACTTCTTTGTCTGCAAAATGAACCATCTGATTGGCTCCTAAGAGAAACACACATTTTCTTGGATCAAATTTGTTTTGCTTAAATATCAGTGTTTGTAGTATAATCAAAGTTTGTAATATCAGTGATTTTGTCTCAAATCTAGCTAGTTTATTTAAACTCAGTGTTGGTTTAAGCACTTTGTCTATTGTCAGTATTTTCGCCTCATGGTCCGCAAAGTTGGACCTTCTGATCATTTCCTAAAAGAGAAATGTAAATTTTCTTGCATTCCAAATTTTTTGGCTTAAAAAACATCAGTGTTTCTAATATAATTAAAATTCATAATATCAGTATTTTCATCTCAAATGTTGATAGTTTGTTAATTTGAACACAACGTCAGTTTATCGTTTCACCAATGTGTCTATTGTCAATATTTTAGCCTCATTGTCTGCAAAGTTGGGCCGTCTGATTGTTTCCTAACAGAAATTTTAATTTTCTTGCATCTCGAAAATTTGTTCACTTAAACATGATCCTGCAGCATGGATCATCTGATTGGCAACTAAAAGAAACTTTAGTTTTGTAAACGTCCCAAACTTTCGTTCACTCAAACAAATTGTCAATGTTTTATAGAGTTACCCAATGTAAACTAATGTAACTGTCGTGAAAGTTATTTCTCTTTCTTTCTTTTTCTTTTTCTTTCTTTCTTTCTTTCTTTCTTTCTTTCTTTCTTTCGTCAAACATCTCATCCTTGGTAACTGTCGTGAAAGTTATTTCTCTTTCTTTCTTTTTCTTTTTCTTTCTTTCTTTCTTTCTTTCTTTCTTTCTTTCTTTCTTTCGTCAAACATCTCATCCTTGTAATGTACTCTTTCTAAACTAGCTCTGGTTCTCACCGTTCCCTTATCAGCCATCAGGTCATATTTCAAGAAGTGTGGGAAACTTGTATTGACACATCTGCCGTGTGGTCACACTTCCACAAGTTAGTGGAACAAGTATAATCATCATCTCGATCTTATCTCAACCAATGTATTTTCAGCTCACTTAAACCTTTATCCTCATGTTTGAAATCACATAGAAGATTTAGTGAACTTGTTTGCTAAAGGAGGAGAATTGAAGTCAAAGTATTCAGAAAAATTACCACAATGTCCCATTTCAAAGTCAATAAGGGGCGATCGTTTGACATGGGAAGTGTCAGTATCACTACTCAGCTCTCAGGCTGTCGTTTTCCTCCGCATGGGATCACTGTGCGCTCCATACTGCAAATCCGCTTGATCCTAGAGCCGCATCATCTTCATCTGCCCTGCCACCTGTCCTTAGTATCGCTGTGCATGACTTGGGTGCAATAGACTTGCTAAACCATCTCTGGTTTGTTACGTGACCAAAAACTCCCTGTAAGAATGATAATTGCATCGTTTACAATAAAAAATGTATGTTTACGAAATGCCAATGGGATTATAACCGTGTATTTAAAAAAAAAAGATGCATTACTACCAAGAAAATGGCGACAAAAAATTTTAGGCATTTTAACAAACTCATCTGAGTCTCAACAAATTATAATTAAGTTGTAGCTGTAGTTGATGCATGTGATATTACAAAAAAAAAAAGTTTAAAAGGGTCATATGATGCTTTTTTAAAGATCATTATTTTGCTTCAGGGATCTTATCTATGCACAATCAGCTTGTAACACTCCAAAGAGAAAGGAAAACTTGAAATCGCATCATATGACCCCTTTAAATTCAGTTTTTCTGTGTCCTTCAGGGTGGTTTAGCAACGCTCTCATTCACCTGTAGTCAACTTATTGTGCATGCTATGTTGCATATATTACGCCTATATATCACTGTAAACGATTTGAAGCTCTCAATTGAAAAAGCTTTGTAATGTCTTTTCCTTCTGTCATTATCTTGCTGCATGAGATCAATGCATGTTCATTTTCCTGTCCATGACATCATTCGCTATTAACGACCAATTAAAAAGGTCCATCATGAGTCATCAGTGGTAGTGGTCTGTTGGTGTCCAATCAGCATTTGTGTGCGTGCGTTTGCAGTTCGGTGGATGGTTGCGTGGTAGTTTGGTGTAAATCTCTTTTGTGTTTTTTTTGTAATCCATTCCTCTCTTGCAGGAACTGAGCGTATTAAGGTAAGATCTGTCTGAAAATGAAGTGAATTTTGTGTCTTTTGCCATTTTGCAATCACAAATGAAGGTCACTGAATAATTTGACAAAGAAAATGTTCATGCATGCTTTTACAAATTTTGCATTTGTACACGTGCAAGATCAATCTACACACTTTAAACCCTTGTGCTGTTGCTGAAAATCCTTTAAATTGGCATTCTCAGTCAAAAATGGCCGGCCTTTTGAAAACTTCTTATTTCTCATTATTCTATATTATCATGTTTCTTTCAAGTAGCACAGGTTTTGTACTTCTTTTTGGAATTGATTTTTATTATAGGCTTCATTAAACTGAGCTTGAGTGAAAAAAGCTTTATTTGCAGATACTTTTGGCAATGTTCATTCAAAAACTGAGGCATATAAGATCAGATAAACAATGCCTACTATGAGTTGGTTCCAAAAAGAAATTCAAAACCTGTGCAAGTTGATAAGATTTAATCCAACATTTGGTAATAATTTAGCATAAGAAATTTCTATGCATTTTTTTGTAGGCTGGTCATTGATGACTAAACAATCCAGTGCCGCAAGTGGCACAGAAATATTTTTTTGATGACTTCCAATGTTACTACTGAAACTTTTTGGGTAAAAATTGGCATAAAAATATTTATTATTTGTGTAGCTGTTTGTATATATGCAATATGTGTCTGTCTATCAATTTAGTACTTTAATCTTGATTTTTAAAGCAAAGCACTGTACCGATCTGTTCAGACCACAGCTTGACCACAGTGATTCACACCATTGTGCAATCCCCAGTTTGGGGGACATGGCGTCTTAACATGGCGTGTTCCTGTTTTTCCGGCCCAGTTTGGGAATGAAGCCCAGCAGATGGAGTGGGCGAAGCGGGAAAGCGAGAGAGCAGAACGGGAACGGCTGAAGAGACTCCGCCAGCAGGAGCAGGAAGACCTGGAACTGGCCATCGCTCTCAGCAAGGCCGAGATGTCCAATGCCTGACCGCCTGACCCTCACATCCACCCTTGTGTACACTACAGCAACGATTGTGTGCGTGCGTGATGGACCAAGATAAAACACATGCAAGACCGTTAAACCTCTGTCCTTTTGTGTTCGTGTGGAGGAGTGCGGCCTATGGTTTGTGATTCAGCTAATTCACTCGACATGCACTGCATTAACCTCTCAGATGGAGTATATAGTTTATTTAAAGTGTATTTGTGTGTGTAAATGTGCATCAACAGAGCCATGGACATTTGAAGACCATTACTGGTCTCTGCAGATCATTATCTCCACTGGATAGGAAAAAGGGACTGAGAAACCGCTAAGAAAGTTGTGGTTGGATCCCAGGTAGGGTCGAACTAGAAACTTGAATTACTGACGCTACACTCCCTCCTTTCGAGCCCTTGAGCAAGGCACCTAATTCCAGGTTTCTTCCTGAATTAAATTGCTGTAAGCGTACTGTAAGTCGATTTGGATAAAGAGCATCTGCTAAATAATAACTTTTACTGGCTCTGGCTGTAGTCAGTATGGTACACACTGGAATTACTGCAGCGCCTGCAGACTAAATGTCTGTAAGTAGCTCTTGACGTGACGTAAAGCTGAACTTATTTTTATTTTTTCATTGTACTGTTCAGAGAAGAAGGTTCAGCAAAGCTTCTACAACTGCACTGATTTTTTTTTCTTTTTAATTTCACCATATTAAATGGTTTAGATTGTTGACACCACTGCAGGACTCAACTGTTAGGAATTGTTTTTTTTTTTTTTTTTTTTTTTTAATTTTTTCTGGGGTTTCCTTTTTTTTTTTTTTTTTTTTTTTTTTTTTTTTTTAAAAATAATTCATAATATTTGTTAAAATGTTAAATATTAATTTTTTAAAATAAGCTTT